AGAGTTCACCAAACCGATCATTCAACCATTTCAATTGATCAAACTATTGACATGTCACTGTTCAACCAAATTTTAACATGTCATTTTTTGAGAGATCGTTTATTAGATCAGTTTTTGATCTCTTACATTAATGATCAATCATTGGATTTTAACGTTTTGATATATCGATATTTCGACCAATATATTCAATACAACACTTCGATCGATCATTTTTTCGACCAATATATTCAATACAACATTTCGATCAATCATTTTTTGACCAATATTTTGAGCATAAAATTTTGATCGATCGAAATTCCGAGCGATCGATTTTCAAAACAGATCGCTCACACGGGGCAAGTTTTCGGAGTACTAGTGAAAAAGTGAAAATATTTAATTTTTTTCCGACAAATTAAAGTTTTGCATTTTTCTTGAACTTATTTGTTATAGTCTACATAGAATTGTAGAAATTTTTTTGCTTTTTAGTACCAGTGAAGACAGAGAAACAGAAAAAAACGATGATGATATTTCATTAAGAAAAAAATCAAAAAAAGAAATTATGATGAACATTTGAAAGAGAAGCGGTTTTTAAACAGTAGTTTTGGACATACTTTTTAACAAAAATTCATTTCGATCTTTTTTCTACTTCGGGAAAATCGCGCAAAAAAAATTTTCTCAGGCATAAGGTGATGATCATAGGTAAATCACTGCAACTCTCAAAAAAGTTTTTGGAAGAAAAAAAAACTCTGTGGTTTTTTTTTCGGTTTATCAATGAATAATTGTAGGGACCGCAGGCAGTTTTCTAGAAACCATCAGATTTAAATGATTTTCATATGACCGTGTACTTCATAGTCCTGGCAACTTAAAAAAAAAAGAGATCTTGGAAAAATATTGACTCTGAATGAAGTTACAGCCATTAAAGCGCGCGTTTCGCGATTTCAATTCTCTGTAGAAAAATTGGTCGAGGTCGCGAAAAAAGTGGGCGTTGCAAGGGTGCGGCGCGCTCTCAAAGAGCAGTGAAAAAATTACAGAAAAAGTTTCTTGTTAATTTTTTTCGCACTAAAACACACTAATGATAGTTTTTCATTATTGGAAATGATAGAACAATGTCCAAAGATGAGGACCAGCAAAAATAAACACTGAAAAAGAATAAGTTGAACGATTTTCAACGGCATAAAAAGCAAAATTTATATTTACGGAGTTTTCAATGCTTTTGATGTTCAAAACTGTTAAAATATCATTAGGAAGCACGGATAAACGCAAATTCTCCCTGAAACAAGATTCGATACAGAATTCGGAACCAATAAAAGGTTGTGAATCCATAGAAACACGAATAAATTAATTATTAATGACTTTTATAACCATTCTTGTAGCAATACAGTATTTTTAAATACGCTGAACTCATTAAAATCCACTTTTATGTCTTATTCAGGTGAATTTCCCGACTTTGAACGTGTTTTCCAGTGGAATCCTGATAGTGGGACTTTGGCGAGACTAAAATAATTTTTTTGTTCTGGAAAATCGTGTGAAGTTATATTTTGTTTTCCGAATTACATTCCTGAACGTTTTGACTCATTTCAAAAAAGTTTTACGCTATTTTTGCTTTGAAAACATCGCGAATTCGGAATTTTCATGGGTCGGTGAATGCACAATTTCGCCAACGCGCAAATGCAGGACGCTGTTTTTATTGTTCGAATGAATCAAATTTTGAAAGCACAAGCAGGATTTTTTTCATTTTTGATTATGTTGAAGAAAAAAGTAATTCAAATCAAAATGAGAAAAAAAATAATTTGCCTACGACGGCTAAAACACTTTTCCAAGTGTTTCAAAAAAATCAAAAATTAAAACTTATTTTTAAAATTAAGGTTGGAATGAAAGTTTTGTTTTTTATTTTTAAAATGTTCTAAAATTTATAGAGAACAGTTCAAAAAAAATTTTTACGATGTTTCGCGGCAAATGCCAAAGTTCCCGAATTTCGAAATTTGCGATTTTCCGACGCTTCGATACTTGAAGGCACAAGCAGGAATCTTTTTATTTTTACTTATATGGTGTATTTTTACATGCTTAACAAAATAAGATAACTTGCCTACGAGCGGGATTGTAAGTATTCAACGTTTTTCCACTTTTTCGCACAAAGGCTTCGCGAAAAAACGTCATTTTAACCGATCCTTTTTTTATTTACAGCTATTTCTTTTATGTAGAATTGTAGAGCATAGCCGATTGTATGTTTCCCTCAATTTTTTCCCAAAACGGTTCAGGGAAACGGCATAAACAACAATGAAATGTCAAAAATGCAACGAAATATACGACGTTTTTTGGTCAGCGAGGGGGTGTGGCCTTGCGGTCCCTAAATAATTGGACTGAAAAAAACTTTAAATAAAAATTTTTTTAAAAAAACCAAAAAAACAAAATTTTTGAAAATTTTTCCTCACTCGAGCCTATGCTCATACACATGGAAAATAACGAAAAATTATATGAAGAAATTTTTGACAAAAAAAGGTCCAGGTGATTGAATAGTTTCAAAACGGAGAACTTTCACAGTTTAACGCTTCAAAACTCGAAAAAGAGCCCTTCCGCAAAAATTTTCCGAAACTTCAACAGTCGTAGTTGAACGGTGAGGTCTAAAAAAGCCAGGAAAAAATTTTTCCGTGGGATATGTCGGCGTATCTATGAGTATTTAAACTTATAAATCTTTAAGGAACCAAAAAATGGAAAAAAACAAAAATTTTTTCTGAAAATTTTCTCACTCCAGCCCATGCTCATATACATGAAAAATCTCGAAAAATTCCATGAAAAAAATTTTTGACGAAAATAATTAGAGATGTTCGAATAGGCTAAAAACGAAGAATTTTCATGTTCATACGCCTCAAAACTCAAAATAGGAACCCCTAAACGAAATCATAAAAAATAGAAAAAACTGCAAAAAAAGTTTGCACAGAGTGAGCACCTAACCTATGACCTCGTGAACCCCAGTCCGCCGCCTTACCACTGCTCCTTGCTGCCGTTGCTTCGACGGTCGCCGGATCGCAATAGGACACCGCGCTCGCAAGCTCTTGTGTGAGGCGGGGCTTTGAAAGATCATATCTGGGCTCCGAAATTTTTTTGTGAAAACTTCAATAGTTTTTCTTGACCAGAGGGATAAGGTCTATATACCCTCCAAAAATGAGCTCAATCGGAGACACTGAAATTTTCGACTTTTGAGGGTCCATAACTTTTTTCACAAAGCTCCTCGGCAGTTTTTGAGACCAGATTTTAGATCAGTGTGAAAAACTACATCTGGAAAAATTGGTCTCATTGAGAGGTCCCACTGCGACCGGAGACCATTCCCTGGTCAGACGACCCTAAAAGAAGTCATAGACCAGATACTTCCAAATTCAAACTGGGGTTAAAATCAAAAAAAAATGTTGAAAAAAATTGATCTGGAAAGATGTATCTAAATAGTCAAGGGCAAAGCTGAAAGTCGGCTATGGGCGAGAAAAATTGAGGAAAAAACCGAAAAAGGACCTGTAGCAATGAGAAATCTTCAGCTTTGTGAAGATATTGCACACACTCAAGTTTTGATAGGCTTTGGCTGTACTCCGTTTATCTCTCCCAGATCATATCAATTTTCTGAATATACAGTGAGTTTAAATGAAAATAAATAGTAAAGAAAGAAAAATTTGAATAAAATTGGTTTCATTCTTTTTGACCGATTCGGATTGAACGCCCGATTCGGAAGAATATTTGGAAATTTTCTAGGGTTCGGTTGAAAATATCCGATTCGGATTGATAATTAACCGATTCGGAAAGAATGGGTTCGGTTGAATGGCCGATTCGGAAAGAATGGATTCGGTTGAAAGTACGCCAAATAGGATCGGTTTGGTGAACTCTAGTTCTCTTGGTTTATATGAGGGTTTTAACAATACTTCAGAAAATTCTTCCTTTTTTCAAAGAACTACAGTTTTAACGAGTCGACAGAGATTTGGAACGAACTGGCTGCTTGGCTGCCACTGCCAGTTGCCGTTCAGACAAAGTCTTTCAGATGGCTTAAACGATTTCAAAATAACAATCCAGCGGGCGCCGATTGTATCACCTTAAACCGTCGCGGTCATCACTCGATCGCAACGCTAGAAGCTGAGAAGGCGTCCGCCCCGAACCCATGTCTTTGGGAGGACTGTTTTTACTTTTAATCTTTCAGGGCCGCCGTCAAAGACGGTCATCGCCCACGGGTGAAACGAAAAAGGAGATTTACTTATGCCCTTTTCGCTTGCTCAATCAATTTCTCATCCTTCTCGAGCTTGAAGAGATCAAAATCAATAAAGCCTAGCGGAAGGTCTACAACCCTCCCAAAAATTTTTGGAATTTTTTTAATTAAAATATAAATTATAGATTATAGCAAAAAAGTTGAAGACCGCAGGAAGTTTTTTGAAAATCACCCCAACGATTTTTTTTTTATACTACTCAATAGTGTATACTGTCAATATTTCAACAAAATCCGTTCAACTTTCTAAAGGAAGCTCACTGAAAAGAAGATGTGATCAAAGTTTCTGATTTGGTTTTGCGTCATTAAACGTAGAGTGTTCAGTGATAAAAAAATATTTTTTTTGCTATTTGAAAAAAAGAAGAAGTCAAAAATCTAACGGACCGGATGAGGTATATATTCTCAAAATATTTTTGTTCGTTTCTCACGCTTCGAAACACTTCAATAAAAGAAGATCAATTGGATAACAGCGTTTTTATTTCATTAATAATGACCTTCGAGTTATTTTTAAAACTTAACAGTAGTGCTTTGAAGTTTGGTGCAATAATTCAGGCGCACCCTGAACTTAATGATTAATAAATAATAGTTTATTGATTAACATCAGTGGGGATTTAAGATTTAATTTGGATTTTAAATAAAGCTTCATAAGAGTTGAGCAGAGACTTGAGGGAAAACTAATCTTTGAACCTTGAGATCTACCTCACATCTGAACCTCACAAGGCTATCCAGTTTCCGAAAAATGAAATTCTTTAGTGTTTTCAAGAATGAATGAAAAACATGGGACTCTATTATTGTCTATTCAAGTCGTGCGTCATTGAAACGACAAGAAAGCTTCGAGGACCCAAAAAATGCATCAAGAAGTCACTTAAAAATCGACTGTGAGTACTGTCATAACTATTCTGCTTTCATGCCCACTTCAAAAAAAAAAAACTGACACGAGAAGTGAATTGAGCGTGCGCCTTTGGATTTCCTAGAAAATAGTTTGAAACCTCCAGTGTACTTCTCCATTGCTTTCCTGTCCTACATCACTAAATTTTGGAGGGTCAGAGATCATTTTGCATTTCGCGAAATTAAATTGAACACGGCATTATAAAATTATAGTATATCAATTGCGTAAAATCAAAAAAAAATTAACGTGGCATTCACAATCGCATAAATGGCATTCTGTGTCTCGAATCTTCCGCGACTGGCAGCAATGGGTAACTTTTTGAGCTTTCGATTTTCTCATCACCGATGACTTCGACAGTGCTCCGGGCACTCAGATACGGACATTCTGGGCATGTTATAAGTACAATGTTAAAAGGTTTCTCAATTCGCGTCTGATGTGTTATTAGAGAAATAAAGGATGGGGAAAGCCCATACTTTTGAAGTTGCATCTCTCCACCGAAATACGCTATTCTAGCTTGAAACCTCTTGAAACTTTTTCTAGCTCCCAGTAGCGTTCAGAGCTATTTCGACGTCTGCGATCAATCAGATTCGCAATAATTCTTATTTACCGCCTCTCCTAAAATTTCTTAACGTGGCTTTCGAAGCGGAATCGAGTTAGGATCATTGATTTTTGAGGCGCTTTCCGAAGACTAATTGTTCGACTCATTTTGATTTATTACCGCTTTCGGATTATGTAACTGGTTCAGAAAGTTTCAAAAACGAATTATGAGATAAGTAATGAGATGGTATAGCATGTGTACCGCGACTCGGAATTTCACCAAACGACATTCCGCTGTTCCGCTGCGTGCCCTTTTTAAATTTTTTTTTTCTTTTATTAAGTTACTCCACTTTCATGTGCTCTCACAGCGGGAAAAATTCCAGAATCGCCCCCCCACACTGTTTTTTTGCCCCCGCGTTCCAACAAGCCCCCCACCAAGCCAAGTTCCGATCTGTGGGGGTGAAATAGGAGGACTTCATGTGGGGGAAGAATCGAACGCGGGGGGTGAATATGTATTCTAGAATGGCCCCCCACAGTACAAAAACGGGGGGCGATTCTGAAAATGCCTAGGCAATCTTTCATATTTGCCCCCGCACGGCTTTGAAATAGTCCCCCAGAGCTCATTCGAACAAGCCCCCTCCCATTTCAGAATGACCTCCCTCTCATTTCAGAATGGCCCCCTCCATTTCAGAATGGCCCCCTCCCATTTCAGAATGGCCCCCTCTATTTCAGAATGACCCCCTCTATGTCAAGTATTTTTATTTATTTGACGAATTGTTCACTGTGGCTCAGTTTTTTCGAAGCGAGAAACAGTCGGCTTCGCGCTATGCGCGCTCCGCTTCCGTGTGAAGCCTTAAAACTAAGCCTATTTTCCTAAGTAATTTATTAATTAATGTGCATGAAAAGAAAAAGCGAAAAATTCTATTCCTCAGAACAATTACTTTATTGAAAACTAATAAAGTTCATCTTAAATTGTTCTAAGTGGTCAGCGCCCCATAGTTTTATGATATTCGTACGTATCTCGGCGAGACGTACCCGTAAACTTCTTTATCTGACTTGAACTTCTCATGAAACTCGGTCAGCGACCTAATTTCTTCCATGGTCTAAAAAACAAATCACAAAAATTATTAAATTCACAAAAAGAACACGAATTTATGTACATGCGAAAATACAAAAAAAAACCATTTGAAACAACCAAGAACGACGAATGATACGAAAAAATTAGAAAATAAATTTAAAAAAATGGAAGCTCTGACACGTGTCCTGCGTGATCGTTGCGTGACTTTTTTTCGGTGTGGGGGTTATACTGGATAGTTCCGGGGGGCTATATTGGATAAGTGTGGGGGCTTGTTCGAACGTGTCGCGGGGGGTGATATCCAACATATGCGGGGGGCTATACTGTAATATGCCGGAATGTCGTTCGGTGAAATCAAGTCGTGGCACACAGATTATAGCTAATCCTTTTTTCTCGGTTTTTTGGCCTTATGTGACATGAAGCTCATTTTCTGTAAATACTTTCTATTTCAGTTTAATATAAATATTTTTCACAAAGTTCAAACTAAGTTCAAAATATCCTTGTAAGTTCGGATCTTTTTTTTCAAGGTTCTTCGAAAGCTCGACTGAAAAGGCAGCTAGTCTACGTCTTCGGGATCCTATTTTGCGCGATATCAAGGGCTACGGTCGAAGGTAATTTGTCTTTTTGTTTTCTACTTTCAGAATATTCAACAAGCAAACTCCAAAAGAAGTTTGAAAAAAGTTAGAATTAACTGGAATTTTGATATGTTGTGTTTTCGACAAAAAATTACAAAAAATTTTCGAAATCCGTCAAAAATGGTTTTTTGACCGGGTCATAATTATAGTCGCACTTTGGCCCAGGGCTCATTTTTAACTTTTGTTGGAACTTTCGCCTTCTTGATTTTAAATAAACACTAAAATAGTATGAGGAAAGAATTTTAAGTAATTTTTAATCAAGCAATTTTATTTTCAAATCATGCGAAAAGCGAAAGAAAAAATCGAAAATTGGTAAAAAAAAAAGTTCGTCATACTAGAGACATCTTCGAATTTTGTTTTCTGGCGTGTATGAAAGCAAGATTTTCAGTTTGATGTTTCCAGGGGCATGTTGCAAAAGGGCTATGATTGCATATAGCTCTGGAGAAGCCATCCCGCCAGAGTGCCAAGATAACTCAGTGACATGCACAGAGGAATCGATTTTTCTGGAAAATCCTTCTTCTTTTCGAATACTTGATTCTTTTTTGAAAAGCGCTACGAGAACTGGCTCCATTACCATACTGGATAACGAAAAAATAGATATCGTGATCTCGAATGTGGAAGAAATCGTTCATAATGGCCAAGGTAAGGCTTTTTTGAAATTCGAAAAACACAAAATAATTCAGTAATCCATAAAATTATTTATTCAATTATTCAAAACCATCCATTTTTTTATAAGTTCATCGGGAATGTCCTTTTGAAAGAGTTGGAAAATCCAAAACCGTTGCTCCGTGACGTCATGCTATCTCTTTCTGACCGACTCTGGAACACACCAGTGATCTGGCGTTGGCGCCAAGAACCGCGTACGCATACGCTACGCGTCCCGCCCCCTCTCTACAAGAAACGTGCACGGTGCGAGCACTGATTTTGCACTTTTTGCTGCACGGTGCATGTTGTAGTTTTGCACCTCGCAGTTTTGGGTTTTGGGAACGAAAAAAAATATAAATTACATGTAGAACTGAGAGAAATGGGCTGAATTGAGGAGGTTTCGGATACCCAATTTTCTGATTCGGAGTGTCAGCACCTTGCGGTGTTGCACCACACGCGCACTGAAAAAGACCCGAAATTGCGAGGTGCAAAACGACAACATTCACCGTGCAACAAAAAAGTGCAAAATCAGTGCTCGCACCGTTCACGCTCCTTGTAGAGCTGCCCCGCCTCCCTTGCCTTTCAAGTCGGGGAAAATTGACTATAAAACCGATCTTGTGCTAAAAATAACTGTTTTTCAAAAAAAAACTGGAAAGATGCAGTTTTTCGTTTTTTTTAAAGTATTCATTCCAGTTGAAATGGAAACTCCGCATTTTCAAAGTCATTTTGCAGGTCCCGCTGTTCATTTGAGGAATCCCGCATTGGTCGGCAGAAGTTTCGTCAAATTGAAAAAAATAACAGTGCCGAATCCGCATATGTTCTGCCAAAGTTGGGACCTACTGCGTCTGGAAAACAACATAACGGCAGAAGTCAGGAACCGGCTGGAGAAAGTGGCCAACGAGGTGAATTCTAAAACCGAAATAAAACTAGGTATCAAGAAAAAAAAACGTAATAATGCCTCATAATGCATAGAAAGAGTAATCAGAAACAAGAAAAATTATCTGCCAAACCCCATAGCCTCAAATTTTAATTTTTCGGGTGATTTTGATTTCTGTCGAGCCATTTTTTCATCGTTTCTTATAGACTAACAAACATTGAAAGTAGGAATAATTGATCAATCTGATTTTATTTTTTCAAAACTGAACAGAAGAAAAACGTTAATTTAATTGCTTTCAAATGGATTTCTTAGAGGAGTTTTTTTTTTAGAAATTAATGGATTTAAGCAGATAATCTCACTTGTTTCCTAGTGCTCTTACCCCGGTCTATCACACACAGAAGATTGAATTCGATACCCGTCTCCAAGTCTAAATAGTTGCTCACCAGGGAATGGTCTCCGGTCGCAGTGGGATCTCTCAATGAGACCAATTTTTCCAGATGTAGTTTTTCACGCTGATCTCAAATCTGGTCTCAAAAACTGCCGAAGAGCTCTGTGAAAAAGTTATGGACCCTCAAAAGTCGAAAATTTCAGTGTCTCCGATTGAGCTCATTTTTTGAGGGTATATAAACCATTTCCCTCTGGTCAAGAAAAACCAGTGAAGTTTTCACAAAAAAATTTCGGAGCCCAGATATGATCTTTCAAAGCCCCGCCTCACACAAGAGGCGGGGCTTTGAAAGCTTGCGAGCGCGGTGTCCTATTGCGATCCGGCGACCGTCGAAGCAACGGCAGCAAGGAGCAGTGGTAAGGCGGCGGAATGGGAATCACGAAGTCATAGGTTCGGTGCTCACTCTGTGCAAACTTTTTTTGCAGTTTTTTCTATTTTTCATGATTTCGTTTAAGGGCTCCTATTTTGAGTTTTGAGGCGTATAAACATGAAAAATCTTCGTTTTTAGCCCATTCGAACATCTAGAATTATTTTCGTCAAAAAATTTTTTCATGGAATTTTTCGAGATTTTTCATGTATATGAGCATGGGCTGGAGTGAAAAAATTTTCAGAAAAATTTTTTTGTTTTTTTATTCCATTTTTTTGTTCTTAAAAGAATTATAAGTTTAAATAGTCATAGATACGCCGACATATCCCACAGAAAAAAATTTTTCCTGGCTTTTCTAGACCTCACCGTTCAACTACGACTTCATAAGAAAAAAAAATAAATCCGCATTTTTTCAAATTTTTGCTGAAACTTTCAAAGAAATCCCTTCTGATTGATAAATAACACAATTGGGACCAAAAATCCCCCAAATAATTCGTTCTAATGGAACTTGTGAAAGTTCACAGTCCAGTCAGACTTTTTCGAGAGAAAAATTTCGAGGAAAGAAACGAAATTTTTTTATTCAACAATAAATATTGTTTTTTTGCGCACTCTCATTTTTTTCTACTTCGGGAAAAATCGCGCAAAAAAACTTTTTCAGGCATAAGGTGATGATCATAGGGTAAATCACTGCAACTCTCAAAGAAGTTTTTTTGGAAGGAAAAAAATTACTGTGGTTTTTGGTGTATCAATGAATAAATAGACTAAAAAAACTTTAAATAAAAATTTTAAAAAAAGAAAAAAAGAACCAAAAATTTTTTTGAAAAATTTTTCCTCACTCGAGCCTATACTCATACACATGGAAAATAACGAAAAATTATATGAAGAAATTTTTGACAAAAAAAGGTCCAGGTGATTGAATAGTTTCAAAACGGAGAACTTTCACAGTTTAACGCTTCAAAAACTCGAAAAAAAGAGCACATAAGCAAAAAAATTTTTCCGAAACTTCCATCAGTCGTAGTTGAACGGTGAGGTCTAAAAAAAGCCAGGAAAAAAATTTTTCTGTGGGATATGTCGGCGTATCTATGACTAATTAAACTTATAAATCTTTTAGAAACAAAAAAATTAAAAAAAAACAAAAAAATTTTTCTGAAAATTTTCTCATTCCAGCCCATGCTCATATACATGAAAAATCTCGAAAAATTCCATGAAAAAATTTTTGACGAAAATAATTCTAGATGTTCGAATAGGCTAAAAACGAAGATTTTTCATGTTTATACGCCTCAAAACTCAAAATAGGAGCCCTTAAACGAAATCATGAAAAATAGAAAAAACTGCAAAAAAAGTTTGCACAGAGTGAGCACCGAACCTATGACCTCGTGATCCCCAGTCCGCCGCCTTACCACTGCTCCTTGCTGCCGTTGCTTCGACGGTCGCCGGATCGCAATAGGACACCGCGCTCGCAAGCTCTTGTGTGAGGCGGGGCTTTGAAAGATCGTATCTGGGCTCCGAAATTTTTTTGTGAAAACTTCAATGGTTTTTCTTGACCAGAGGGAAATGGTTTATATACCCTCAAAAAATGAGCTCAATCGGAGACACTGAAATTTTCGACTTTTGAGGGTCCATAACTTTTTTCACAGAGCTCTTCGGCAGTTTTTGAGACCAGATTTGAGATCAGCGTGAAAAACTACATCTGGAAAAATTGGTCTCATTGAGAGATCCCACTGCGACCGGAGACCATTCCCTGGTCAGTGAGAAAAAGAAATGTACTGAGAAATGAAATTTCAAACTTGTTTCAGTTTTTTTTTCCTGTTGTAATGGTATTTTTTTCCAAACTTTCTCATGTATCCATTATGATAAGAATCTGTTTTCGATCAAATTGCTTATAATAAATCAATTATACTCATGCCAACATCCAGTTAACTCATGATTCGTCATCTTTATTATCTCATTATTTGTTTGTATATTTATTAATTATCTTATTTATTCAACAGTTGACCAGTTGAAATTTCAACCCAACTTTTTTGTTTGACGATTGTGCGGATCAACGTTTGAGCAGGCGCCTGCAGGTCTACAAAGATTTGAGCCTTGAAAATTGCCATCATAAACGAAAAAAAAAATCGAAAAACATTTCTAATTTCAAAAGTATTCAGACGTTGGCCGTGTGTAACACTATGACAACACCAACGCCAACGTCCGCAACGGTTGAAACGACAGCTTCTACAAACATAAGCCTTCCGACGACATCAAACGACACCGCCGTGATCCCGTCGCAATGCGCTCAAAGCGTGGCTTCCGCCGTCGCCTCAGCCTCGCAACGAGAAAAAGATTGTCCTAGCAACAGTAACTTCCTTTGCGGGTTTTCAATGATGAACCGAATTCCAGAGGGCCTTTTAATCGGTGGCATAGTCTTGGTTGTTGTACTTCTGATCCTCCTGGCGATTTCGACTTTTGTAGCCATCAGACTCTATTTCTTCAGGAAAGACGAAGACGCCGATTTTGCTGTATATGGTGATTATAGTGTCTAATTTGAATGGCGAAAATTTTAACAAAGAAAAGATGTGACAAGAACCCCCTTATTTTACCACAAGGTGGGAAACGTTTCAAACGATATTTAGTCTCTCAATTATTTCTATTCGACCTTTGATTTTTCGGAAAGGTATGGGAGTTTTAAAGTCCTACAGCCAGATTTTTCGCAAAAACTTCCTTAGGTCTATACTTCACTCAAAGAAGAGTGGACAACAAAAATTTTAAAGATTTTTTTTTTCCTCAGGATTGTCTGCCTAGTTTGCGAGAAAAAAAAATTTTTTTCCATTGACGTGAAAATTTTCATTTTTTAAAGTTAATTGCTGGCTAAACACAACGGCATTTGTGTTTAAATGTTCATTTAGGCTGGAATGAACATTTTTGACTGATTTACTCTCAATTCGTTGAAGTTTGGTGAAACAATCGGAGCATTTTAAGCGATTACCTTACGGGTACATAAGGCTCATGTTGCTGTACACGACGTTCTTTTTTACGACGCCCCGCCCACAATTTTCGTAATATAAGACGTCTTTGGTGCATACACAGAACGAAGCTAACTTGCATACTCCATTGATTCAAAAAAACAAAAAAACATTTTTTTGTACAAAAAAATTATTAAATAGAAATTTTTTTTGAGAACTACAGACTGGGAAAAATGATGATTCAACCACATTTCTATTTTCTAGTTAACTTCACGACAAAAATAAGTCGGTTTAAAAAAATTTTTTTCTCACTTTTTTTGAAAAAAATGTTCTTTTTTTATTTCATATCTCAAGTAATTATGAAGCACTTTTTTTGTGTGAAACAATTGAAGTTAACGTTGATGCTGTTGCTAAAAAAACATTTTTTTAGCTTTAGTAGTGAAATTCGGTAATAAGGTGGATTATTAAAAATGGTTACTTCATTCAAAAAATTATGCGAAACGCAAAAGTGATGTGATTAGGGAGTAGAAAAAAACATAAAAGCTTTTTCGATTGTTTTTTGGCTTTCTCACAGTCACGAAAGCTGCATGAGTTCGGAAAAAAGCAAATTCAAAACAAAAAGTTTCGAAGGTTCATTTTTTTTCATGAGAGTTTGATGATGAACGGTAAAGAAAAAAGAAATATTATATCAACTTAATACAAAATTAAAACAACCAAAACTTGTCAAATATTACAATAAGACTGGATATTGATAAAATAATTCAAAAAAAGCCATATAAAAAAGAAGTGTTCGATTTTTGGCGGGGCGACGGAGCATCTAAGTTGGAAGGGTTTTTTTTCACAAAATTTTACAATTTTACACATTTATTTTACATTTTCTTTCACTACGCAGAACGCCGTGTGTAGCGGGAGCATGAACTTTGCTCCCGCTACAGCACCCGAGCACAGAGCAAACTATAAAAAAGGCTTTTTTTGTGAGCAAGATAAGCCGGTACATGTTATTCTTTCAGTATCGTATATAACGCAACTTACAAATTCGATGATTCTCCTCCAATCGGGCCGAGACGGAGCTATGCGTTAGTTCCCTCATCGTACCGAATTTTTGATCAGATTTTTGCAGTTAACGGCTATATATTCGATGGTCTTCAAGTAAAATGTGCCGAAATGGGTGAGTTTGGTTCGAACTCGAAAAAAAATCACTATTTTCTGCACCAGACAATTATCGAAACAGTCTTAACTTTCACTACTTCTTGATTTATGAGAAGACACCCCCAAATGCCGGCTGAAGAGTCTTTCTTAAAATCTCTTTTTTTCTCAGAAACTAGAAAGTTTTGCAGGTTTTGACTTTTTGCGCTTTTCTCTTCTCTAGAAAAACAAAAAACAACAACAAACCATTCTTTAAAACTGAAAAAAATCCCTCTGGTCGTTAATTGGAAAGAGAAAAAACCTTTTCGTCAGAAAGTTTACCATCTCTGGTGTGAGATAAGATCATCTTTTTAGCTTTATCGAAAAAAAGCCTTCAATTTTTCAAGTTGAGTCACAGCCGAAAAAGATTTAAAAAAATTCACTTCTTGCAGCGCCGACTTACAGTATTTGAACTTGGTTGCGATGGCGTGAGTTCGGATTCTGTAGCTAGTTCTTCAATTTGAAGGAATTTGGATAACAAAAATCCAAACACGGCGGAAGTGAACGGATTCACGCTAAAAAAACAAGCCTAAAAACATGATCTGTGCTCACCTTTATTTTTTTTTTTCTAGCTTACCTTGTGAAGTGTTACCACACGCAGGCCACGGATCGCAAAAAGAAATTCGAAGTGGGCAAGCCTCTAGATCCAAAAACGGACTTCTATTCGGAGTCATTCGAAAAAATTCCATGGAATAAAAAATTTGGACCGTGTGATAAACAGGACAAGACGGAGGAGTTCATCGAAGCGGCGCAGAAGTTTGAAACTGTGAAAAAGGCACACCAAGCTGGAAAGGAGTTTGAGCCGCCGAAAGGGACTCGTATCTGGTCGGACCTGCGACTGAAAAACCAGGAACTAATGGACGTAGTGAAACTGCCCGAACAGCAAATTGTAGAGAAGAGGCCAAAACCTCAGCTACCAGAAGGTCCACCGAAGGTTTTGAAAAAACGGCAAAAAGGAGGAGGAGACCCGCCTTCCAAAGCTATCACGAGCGTCGTCAAAAACGAAAATTCAAAGAAGAAAGAAACGAAGAAGGAAGACCCAAAGGTGGAAGAGAAAAAAGGAGGATCCAAAAGGCGGAAGAGAGGAAGAAGGAAGACCCAAAGGTGGAAGAGAAAAAAAGGAGGATCCAAAAGGCGGAAGAGAGGAAAAAGGAAGGCTCAAAGGCGGAAGAGAAACGAAAGGAGGATCCGAAAGCAGAAGAGGCAAAAAAGGGTGAACTGAAGATAGGAGAACTAGATAAACAGGAAGGTGAACCTGTAAAATTCGTGAAGCCTGAAGATATCGTGAAGAGGTTATTAAAAGAAGATCAGCCGAAACAAGTTTACGATGTGCCACGCGAAAAAATCGTGCTTGATAAGTGTCTTCCGCTGTCTCCTTCGAGTCCGGTTAAAAGGAAGTACGACGTTTTTAAAACCAAAGCCAAAGTTCTGAGTGAGTGCTTCTTTCTTTTTATTGATAATTATTCACTAGCAGAGGCTGGTAAAACTGTAGCCTTCAATCGGATCTAAAGGCAGCTTGTTGAACAGTTGAGACACCATGGCAGAGATAGGCGAAAAAAGACATTTTTGCGCATTTTGCATTCTGCTTTTTTCTATATGACTTCTCAAAATGTACTTTGATCCAACTTTTTACTGTCCACTCATCTTTTTATCTTATTCGAACCGCCTCGATAAGATGTCACAGTCGAAAAATGTCCTTTGAAGAAAAAATATATATAAATTTCACTTTTGCAATCCAAAAAAACACTTATTTTTGTACTGAGGGTGTTGCCAGTGCTTCACCATTTCGCGATTTAAAAATTTAGTTCCGACCATCTGGATCAAATACGATTTTGTTGAAAGCTAAGATGTCAGAAATTTCTCGTCGAAGCTGAAGTCGAGAAAAACTTTTCAAGGCGGTCCGAGTAAAAATCAAAAGATAGACTCAACCTGATGAGCATCTCACGAAAGGTCTCGGAGGTGTTGACAGCTTAGAACGAAAAAGCAGGCGATTTGGCAATTGCTACGAAAACATTTGCTTTCTCGAGCAGCTTGTTTCAGGCGTCGATTTAAGCTCAAACCACGATAATAAAAAGTACTAGGTCCAATATTCTCATCATTCTGATGATCATCTGCGCCTGTCAGACATCACGATACCTCAGTTGTGAAGAATTGAAATTTTAGGGGATACATTCTCAATTTTTTCATTGGTGATGGAAGAGCTGCAGAATTACTGTGAAGTTCACGCTAAAGGTATAGAGAATGATGAGAGAGAAAAAAACATTTTCGCAATTGTGATTTCAGTTTGGAAGCTCCTCAACTTGAACGCCAACCAAGTGGAGATCAAGCTAATAGAAAGAGCGAGATACAACTGTTCCTATGAAATAATTAATGATGCTAGTCCCGGTTACCCTCAAAAGCTTAAATGGCCGTTAAAGGAATGCACCCCTCAACAAATTTCTTCACGTGAGTTTTGAAAAAATATTTCATAATCAACTTTTTTTACCCGCTTGAAATGCAGTGGGAATGATGTGAAAAAAAGAGCGGTTTTGATATCTGATTATTAATAAAAAAATACCAGGAACAATAAAAAAACCTTGATCAGGAAACTGCTTGAAAGGGAAAAATCAATCAAAAAGATTGAAATTCGAGTTTGAATTTTTACATTTTGCCAAAAGCCGGGTCGCTACCGTTCCTGTTAAGTAAGGACGAGTTGACTATTTAAAAAAATTTACTGAGAGTTGAAAACGTGTTCGAAAACCTTTCTGTACCTATTCATATACTTTTTAATGTAACAGAAATTTTTAACTTCAATTTTGATTCTACTAAAATCTAGATTCTATCATTCTCAGTAAAAAGATAATATGCTTACGTATTTAAGTAGTATAAACATTATAACTACTTTGAAAAAACAAAGAATAAACTTAAATACCAAATGGAGTTTAGCGCCGTTTATTCAGACAAACTTTTTCTACAGCTGTTTCGACAGATCAGCTGTTAGACTTATTTGATTGTTTTGATGATTTATTTTTTGTACTTGTCGGGTAGATTTCGGAATGACGAATAAACACTTGAAATGAATGAAAATGAGAGCCGTCAACAAATTTTTATTTCATTAAAGTTCGCTTTTTCGAAGTCGAAGACCTGACAGAGTTGTTCTCAAAATATGCGTTCAAGTTACACGAATTTGTTCGTTTACATGTCAAATGAAACGGAAAAGGATGACTTTGGAATAATTCTGACGCGTTCAATCTGTATAGGCCAACGAAACCTCGGGCAAAGCCGGAATGGTGGATAATGGCCGCTAAAAAGGAAAAAGGCTCTAAAAAAAGCAGCAAAAAGGCAACAAAGAGAGTCCTTTTATCGATCCTTCCATGTTCTCTAGAACTTTGAAGGCGCAGAAAGGCAGCAAAATGGGAGCCTTCGGCACCCTAAAAGGAACATTTCTATCATTTCCTTTTTCCACCCTTTCCGACTTTGCCTATGACGATGGTTCAGATTGTTGTGAACTCGCCTCTCTTTCATTTCATTTTCAGTGGCATACAATGAACTCAAAAAATTGCGCGCTTTTGCCAAAGGAAACGAGAAGCGGCTTCTGGAGCTGTTGGAGGCCGAACACATGGAGAAGGCGAATCTCTTGCACGCTGAAGGCCTCAATTATTACTACTGGTTTAAAAGTTCGTATTTCCTCTTTCTTGGCACGTATCGAAAACAAAAAAAAAAATAAAGTTCGCATTCCAAGACTCGAAGAAAAAAGACTGGACAAAAACTTCAAGTTTTTCAGAGTTTGTACTAGTTGAGCAGGCAGTTCTTCCAGGAGAGACCATCGCCGATGCTAGTAAGAGGATTTACAGTGAGTTTACCCATTCCGTTTGGTGCTTCCACTCTCCTACATATTTTAGGGTGCAAACTAAATGAGTTCCAAGCTCGGCTGAAAGAGATATTTTTCAGAGACCAAAGAGCGATTCACTGAAATCAATGCTCTGCTGAACCCCGTTCATAATGCGGCGCATCCAAATAAGAAGCTCCCGAATCCTCAGAAAACACAGATCCCTGCAGCTCCGAAAAACGTCGGAAGAGAAACATTCGAAGGACAAAAAAATCAAAGAAGGCCTAAAAAGATGGCGTCAGAAACCTTCGTTTCAAAGTTTATCCAACCTTTTTTTCAAATAAATAGCTTTTTCTAAAAATCAAACTTCGAAGTCTTGTTTTTTCTATAAAAGGGATTTTTTTGTGAGCATACACTTGTTTATTTTGAAAAAGAGGACTCGCGATCATTTTAGCCAAGCAAAAACTCAAATCGCCAATAAAAAAATTTGATCTCTCAAAAATCTCGAAGTTCCGTCATGAAAAATATATTGGTTTAAAATGAAAAATATTTTGTATTGGTTTAAAATGTCTATCTCTCGAAATATCGCTCTCAAAAATACTGTTTGAAATTTGGATCGATCAATATTTTTTTTGTCAAATTATGGATCATTATTTTGATTTATTGTACAGTGATATAAAAAATTGACCTTTCGCAAGAGAAATTTCAAAATCGAATATTGGATTATCAATAATTTTTATATATGAAATTATTGGAAGAGTGGTTTTAAAAACTCTAGAAGGCAGGAAACAAACAACAAAACACCTCTAAGTGTGAAAACAAAAGACAGAAAAACGAGTTTTTTTTCTCATTCAGACACATTTGAATAAAGGCAAGGCAAGTAACCGTCAAAAAGGTGCCTATAAATCGGCGTGGTTCATGACAATGTCGAGTCTCTTCTTTCAAATATGCCATCCTATTATTTAATTTCACTGATTTTCGCTGGTTTTTCGGCCGATTTTGTGACTGGAGGTGAGGAAATGCAAGTTTTGTCTTTTAAATTTACAGTCCTTCAAGATTAACAAAATGAAGCGAAATCTCTCTGAAACCGTTTTGTCCATGAAAACTTTGAAACACTTCTGAAGGGGCATGGTGGAGTTTTTAAGTGTAAAATTCAAAAATCTCAAGTTTTATTGAACCTTTTGATTTTGGAAATGGCGTAAGCATCACGCAGTTTTTATTTTTTCAAGCCCTGAGCTTTTTTGAATTTTTAAATCACTTTTTCAAACTCGCCCTATGACTAGACTTTTTGCTCTTTCTGACTTTTTCAATTAATTAAATATGAAACTTATCAATTGTGAGCAACTTGAAGGATAAAGTGTGAAAACTCCGATAAAACTTACAAAAAGCTTGGTTTCTAATATTTTCGCTTCAATTCTCTTGAACAGGCGGGATTTTTCTTTCAACTTGAAAATTTTCGTCTAAAATATAATGAGGTGGTTTCCCAATAATTGATGGAAATGAAATAATTCTTCGATTCTATAAAAAAGTCTTCAGAATCGTGTATCGACAAGTTCTGTCCACCAGAAACCTACTGTGAAGAACGGCTGGGTCCATGTGTTCACCCGCCTTGCAGGACAATTTTCGCCTGTCTTCCCAAGGAAGTTAATGGTAAGAAAATGTCCTGTAGAACAATTTGGATGAAAAAAATTAGAATTTGCGGGAAATGCCTTCCTGTTCGTTTAATTTTTTTAAGATACTTAACATTTTCTGGACTTCTGAACTGTTGAAACTTTTCAAATGTTAACTTCTTTCTAAAACCTTGAATTTTTGAAATCAATTTTTTTAAATCGAAAAAAATTCAACTAACCAAAGGAAATCTTCCAGGCTGCTCCCGACTTGATTGTCCTTCGGGGAAACTTTGCGTTGAACGCGTGAAACCGTGCATTTCAAGGTCTGCAAGAAAAATTCCAAGCTGTGAAACGCCAGAAAGTGAGTTGGAAAAAAAAAATCTAGTTAACTTAAAAAAGCATCCGTATTTTCAAAATTATCAACTACTTGACTCGAAATTAGTGTTTTAATCAGAGATTTATTTATATTTTTGAATTTTTGCTGAAAACTACGGTTCAAACACTCAAAAAATCAATCGAAAACACAAAAAAATCTAATTTTTCTCCAAAAACGACTTCCAAAAAAATTCACTAATTTCTAGCCTGTGAAGCCGTCGTCTGCCCACCGTCCCACCGTTGCAAAATGGACAAATCGGGAAAACCGGCGTGTATCAAAAAGATCCCGCCAACACACGCCATAATCGGACATGCTATTTTGGATCCGAGCCAGTTTAATGACGAATAATAAATATTTCAAATAACGATTTGAAAATACAACAATTTCAACACAAAACTTGATACAACAACGAACTATTCATTTCTGTCAAACTTTTTGGGAAATTTCGATAAAAATCTGGCAACATCTCAAAAGATAAAAAAAACATGGCACAAAGGGGAGAAAAAAAAAAGTGATTTCGGTTAATCATGGTTGTGTGAGTAACTGAAAAATGGTAAAAAAATGATTATTCGGGGGCACAAAAATATTTTCAAGACAACAAAATAAAACAGTTTTAGTGAGGCCAAAAAGAGAGATTTTCTTCGAAAGCGTCTTCGCTGACTTCGGTCTTAGGTTCACTGAGAAGTTCGAGGTTTCGACCCTGAAATTTTCGATAAATTCAGGTATTGTTTATTTATTTTTACATCATTCGGTTCGTAGACAGCAAAAAGATGATCCTCGCGGACGATATCGAACTCATCTTTGGTTTTGTTCAAAAGCGACGGATCGCCTCGGAACGCTGGGTTCGGGAAAAACGGCATGAAACCATCATCTGAAAACTCTGGCTCCGTGTACACTTTATTCGCCTCTATTTAAAAACCGTATCTACTTCTCTTTATTCATCTTTTTGCGAGCGAAATATCCTTGGAGTAACCAAAAAGAATATCTTTCAGTCAATAGTCTCAAAAAAACAGATTTTTGGGAAGTTTTTTTTGAGCTTCTCGACGCCATCAAATAATATTCTACATCAATTAAAAATTACCGCAATCCGTTGTGAATATGGGAACGCTGCTGTCAACTGAAAACCTCCCACGATCAAATTTGCTCGGGGTTTTTGGCGTTCTCTGATCGGCTTTCCGATCCTCGTTTCCCGTGATACCGAACATGCCTTCTGAAGTGTCGAATCAGAAAGAAACATCCTTTTTCAAAAGGAAACCCAAACCGGCCGATCTCGGATGATCGGCCCAAGCGAGATGAGACGTCGGCGGCGGCGGACAAGGCGTTCCGTACATTTTCTCGCGAAGAAAAGCACAGTACTCCTTCGGACGTTTAGTGTTGTCGAATTCTAGCAACATGAGTGAAATGAGCCACGAGCGTGTGCAAAATTCAAGACAACTTTTCGGGATTTTTAAAAGAAGGCAAAAGACCCCTTAAAAAGTCCTTCAAAAGACGGAAAAAAAAAATCATTTCTGAGTTCTTTTTGATAATTTTCACCTGCGAAGCTGCCTTGTGAACATACATTGGCAAACCATTTTTTAATGCCGTCGACACCTCCACCCAAGATTTTCTATCTTCAAGTTATTACTATCTCCCTGAGGCTAAAACTTGTATTATCTCGGCCTAGACGAACTCCTTGAGGTTGAAAAATGATTTTAATTTCCAATATTTTTGTGAGGTTCTTCCTTCCGGGCTGAATGAGTTCTGTACTTGCCATCTATGCTTGTGAAATTCGCAGAGTTGTTTTTTCTAACTTGAAGTCAAAATATAGAAAGTTCATAGCTTTCCGTGCTGTAAAGTGCTCGAAATAGTTCGATAGTCCACCTTTTTGAAAAATAAGCTGGTTCACTTCATTTCTTCCATTTAAATAGAAAAGAAATTTTTTTTCTGATAATATGGGTAAATAACTTTTTTTCAACAGACTTAGGAATCTCAAAGTGGTTCATATAGAAGTTGAGGTACTGTTCTTCTGCTTCTAACTTCTAAAGCTCAAGTGGACCCTATAGGGGTCTCTCAATTCCATTCAAAAAACGCTTATTTATCCTGTTTTTCTCATGGAAATGCTTCCTCGCTTAAAGTTCATGACAATTATCGACTAGCATGTTCCCTGAAGGGGCCACTAACTAAAACCCCTATAGAGACAACTTTTGCAACTTTTAGTGGCCCTAGAGAAAACCCCAGGGCCCCTAAGGTTTCCCCTATAGGGACCTCTCTGGAGTTCCTGGGGATTTCTTGTACAAGTTTTAATCCTCCCCCCTTACCTTTACGGAGTCCAGCCGGCCAATCTGGAAATTCGCGAGCCGCCGCCTCATTGCACAACAGTTCATCCCACTTCACGTTGTTCTTCCGTCCGTACGGCTAGATTATCAAAGTTTTCTCTGTTTCAAACATTCGTTCCTACTTCGAACTCCTCCTCTTCGTCTTCTTCTTCTAGAGGCGCTTTTTTGTAAATTCGGATTTCGGGAATATTTTCTTCTGGCTTCTGTCTCACGCGTTTGCACATTTCCAAGACCGTCTTTCGGTGGTCCTTTGACAGTGGCTTCGTGCTCGGAGGCTTTTCTTTCACCATCAAAAAGCTTTTCTGAAGCATAAAATCATGATTTTTTTAAATCTGCAACAAGTTTTTTTTTCTTTTTATCAAAACTTTTGAAATTACAACTAACTTAGGCAAAGTCGGAATGGCTGCAAAAATGGAGGCTCGAAAAAGGCCACAGAAAAGCAGTGAAAATAGTCCCTTTATCGAGTCTCTAAATTTTTCTAGAATTTTAACGGCTCAAGAAATAGTGGAAAAAAGGGAGAGGCAGCAAAATGGTGCATAGAAGCCGATGAAAAGGCGCGAAACGGCAGAAAAAAAGTAGCTTTTGTCATTCTCAAACAAACATTCCTATGAAGTCTTTTCCAGCATTTCCGAATTCGCCTATGAAACTTTCGACCTCAAATTTTGTTTTTGCTCTGTTAATCACCATATTCTTCTCAATCTCAGCCATGCTGCGGACACCCAACGGCGTCACCATCAGACGCTTGAAATCCCTAGGATTTCCTCCATTTTGCTGTTTGAAAACCGGCAAAACGCGCTCAGAAGCATGAGAAATGTTGACTGGAGGGTTCCGGTCTGAAAAATGTTCTCTTATCGATTTTCTAGTTCTTTTTTCTTGAAAACCCTCAGAAATGTTCGGTCGGTCAAAGTACATGTCCTGACGATAATCCATGACGTGGCAGGCTTCAAAAATAAAAAATACAGACTTGTATTAGAAATTTTTTAGAATATAACTTGAAATTTTTTTTTTTACCTCAAAGGGTCAAATTCAGCCAAAAATTGTAAAAATTCAACTGTTCTCTGTTTTAAAACAATATGATCGACTCCAGTAACAAGATGAAGTTCAAAAAATGAAAAATAAAACAAACGATGGGCTTCCGGAAGCAGTAAAAGATGATGCTCATAGTGGATTCGAGTTGGGAAGACGCTGAAGAAATAAATTCAACTGAATATTTTCGAAACTCCGTTTCTATAATATTGATTTTTACAAAAATAGATAAAACGGAAATGTTGCTTTGAGGATCCTTGAAAGGGAGCTGAAACGGTTCCTCTAAAAGCTAATAAAATTTTTGTGAAAAAGTTTTCCAGCTCCTTTTAATTAGCCTCTTGGAGCCCTTTCAAATCTTTCAAGCTGTTTTCCCGAATATTTTTGTTGAAGAACATGAAAAAGAAAATGAAAGAAAATGAGATAAAAAGTTTTGCTGGGGACCCTTGAAAGGTTTTTTTTCAAGAAAAGCTTTTCGTATTGCGCAAGAAAGGAGCTAAAGCCCATTAAACCACAAAAATGAACTTGTCAAACTTAAACACTGAAATTTTTGATTATCTCGAGCGAACTGCGCTCTTTTCACCTATTTCCTGTCATAACTGAGTATGAATCCTTTTTATCTCTGTTATTAACCTGAAACAACCGCCACAGGTGAACGTGGACGAGCTCTGATCCATATGTTCACTCATGTAATGTTGCCGCAACGCGATCCGTCCATTTAAGCTCAAGCCGCAGAAAACACATTTTAGCCAGTTGGGTCTGATTGAAAAATTTTCTTTTGATATAAATTAAAATGACTGGAATCAACTAAACTTTTGAATCAGCTCTTAGAACTCTCTTGAAAAAAATCAGCTTATGAAACGAAAAAAATTTGAATTTTTGGATCATTTTTCGAAACATCGTTTTCATTCGGTTTCTGAAATAGGATGAAAAAAATCATAACTATACACCGTTTTGAATCCTTGGTGTAAAAACTTCTAGAAAAACAAGTGAAAATGAAAAAAATGGAAAAAAAGAAAAAAACAAAGCTCTTTTTAGGAAAAATGTGAATTTAGTTTTTTTAAATATTGAACTTCTAGCAGCAAACTCCGCCCCCCCAACAAAGCTCTATGGATGGATCGCTGATTTGTTTAATCTACACATAAGGGGCGGAGCTTAAGCGATGAGCTGATTTTCTAAATCTGAACAGACAATAGTTTAACTGACTTCCAAAGCAAAAAATGTAGCCTAGTTTCCTTCTTCCACATTCAAAAATGCAAAAAACATACAGGACATGTTTTCATCAAAATATTCGTTACAAAATGGATCAATTAGATTCTTTTTTATGTTCTGAAACCTACTTATGGCCAGAAATATGACTCTGCGCCTGAAGAGAGTCGGTGAAACCTTTGCCGCAAATCTCACAAGCGTAGAAACGCTTCTCGCAATCGCCAATCTGAAAAAAAAACAAGTAAGAATAAAGTTTTTTTAAGAAGTCCTCAGTTATGTCGGTAAGTTTCGTTTCAAATCGATCGGATATAAGAAAAAAACGCACATAATTCCCGTTGATTTCAAAATTCGGCGCATTTTCAACGTTTGTATCAGACAACTCGTCGAACAAATTCTCTTTTCCGAGGTCAGGAAGGTCTTCAGTTGACGGAGGAGCCTGCGAAAAAAGGAATACCGTAATCCTTTGAGCTATCGTATCAAGAAAAACTAATCTAGCGATGATTTTTTTGTTTTTTTATCCTAAAAATCGTTTTTCTAAAAACAGGCCTCAAAAAGGAAAAAAAGCCATGGAACTTTATTCAGGACCAACTTTTTCATTCGAACTCGGAAATTCAAAATAAGATTCTCTTTTTTTTTTCACCTTGAAGTTACGAGAACGCAACAAGATGGAAGCCGTTTTTTTGCCTCCTTGTATGACAATTTCCTTCAGTGCTGGTCTTCGCGACTCTTCTCCGAGATAGTTAGTTATCAGTTTTTCGTCAGGTCCGAAAGCTTCAGGGTGAACACACCGGGCGCATTTGCAGTCGCGGAATTTCTTTGTCTGAAAAAAATAGTACATAATTTCAATTAAAAGTTTTTTTACTGATCTACTGATAGATTACTGATAGAAACATAATTTTTTTTCAATGTTGTACCTCAGAACTTTCACGGAATAAAAAAATTCAATTCAGTTGTGTTACGATAGAAAATTAATCATGCGTTTCAAAAAGTTCCAAACTTTATATTATACTTTATATTATACTTAGCTTTCTCATTAGCTATAGAATAACAGGATTATTTTCAAGTACTGTTATGTTCTAAAAAAACGGAATTGAGCCAAAAAACAATCAACTTCCCAAAACAACAGCGAAAATCGAATATTTTTTATTTT